AAAAAAAAAAAAAAGGCTGTAAACAAAATATCGGGAGGGGTTTAAGTAAGACCCAGATAACGTTCCTGGACTGTTGCTCCGGCTCCGGGGCCTGTGGGGCTGAGGACCGAGTGCTGCTCCCCTTGCCCCCCACAGGCAGAGAGACGAGCTGTGAGGGCACCCTGCGGGCCGTGGACCCCCCCGTGAGGCACCACAGTTACGGGCGCCACGAGGGAGCCTGGATGAAGGACCCTGCTGCGAAAGACGACAGGATCTACGTCACCAACTACTACTACGGGAACAGCCTGGTGGAGTTCCGCAATCTGGAAAACTTCAAGCAAGGTTGGAGAGCTGGAAGTTGGGAAGGGGGCAGGGGGTGGGCGGCCTGAGGAGGGTCTCCCACGGAGACTGGCAGGGGGTGGGCAGCCTGAGGAGGGTCTCCCACGGAGACTGGGCCCTCTTGTGCCTGTGCTTTCCTGTGGTCCGGAATGTCCCAGCCTGGTCCAGCTCCACATGATCAGCCACCCCAGTGAGGGGCATCTGAGGGCACCCCCTATGTGCTGGCATGGAGCCAGGAGCGGGAATGCAGCAACAAACAAGACGGGCAAGGTCCTGCCCTCAGGAGCGTAACTTACTATCAAGAGGAACAACACTTAGGGTGTCCTCTTCTTGAGTACTTATTATGTGCTAATCACGCCATGTGCGTCAGCTCATGGTAGCTTCATAATTCTATGGGGGGGGGGGGTCAGTACTCTGTTTTACAGGTGAGCAGAGCCCCAGGCCTTAGAGGAGCTGCAAGTCTGGGCAGGGAAGGGCAGAATTTTGGTTATCAGATCTGGGGCATGATGGGGGAGGGGTCATTTAGGCCTCACCCGCCCTCCAGAAATGCACGGTCTGAAGCGAGAGGCAAAGACCTAAGGAAATAACTTCAGTGTAGTGTTTGAGGGAAAGCTCAAGGGACTGTGGAACCCAAGCCTGGACATCAGAGAAGACCTCCCAGAGGAGGAGGTGATGTTGAGCTGAGCTTTGGAGGAAGAGCGGGAAGAAGCCATAGAAAAGGGAAAGGGCCGGGTGTTCCAAGCAGAAGGCCCAGTGTGTGCCAAGGCCCGGCAATGAGAAGCAGAATGGCCTAGAAGGGAGGTGGGGGAAGCATAAGGAGAGAGTAGGCTCAGGCAGTCCTCGGGAGCCACATCGAAGTTTGGATTTATCCTGAGAGCCTTGGAGTCACCGGGTATGGCCTGGAACAGCCAAAGTCCTTCCTCTGCCAGGTCCAAAATTGACCTGATGCCTGCCTCAGGCGGCTCATAGGCTGCTGTGGAGGAAGCCACTGAAAAGTGCCAAGACCAGGGTGATGGGAGGCCAGAGGGGAGGCCCTCACTCAAGCCCGGGGAGGTGGTGGAAGGCTTCCAGGAGGAGGCAGTATTGGTGGAGGGCTCTGAAAGATAAGGAGGCATTGCCCAGGCAGACAGGACTGGGAATGCAGTCCAGACAAAAGAAACAGCCTGGGCAAAGGCCCGGAGGCAGAGCCCTGGGGCTGTCTAAATCCCGGCTGTGCCATTCCATAACTGGGTGACCTTGAACCCTCTGACCCTGTTTCCTCCTTGGCAAGGGGGATGCTGACAGTACCTGCTTCGCGGTGGTCGGGGCTAAGAGGATTGGCCCAGCTCCGAGCCCATAGCCTATTCGGTCTCCCCTGCTTGCTGGGCCACTCGGGAGCCCTGGGTGGCCTGGCCGGCCCGCCGGCCCCGGTGTGAGCATCTGCCCCGCACACAGGCCGCTGGAGTAACATGTACAAGCTGCCGTACAGCTGGATCGGCACGGGCCACGTGGTGTTCCAGGGCGCCTTCTACTACAACCGCGCCTTCACCAAGAACATCATCAAGTACGACCTGCGGCAGCGCTTCGTGGCCTCCTGGGCGCTGCTGCCCGACGTGGTCTACGAGGACACGACGCCCTGGAAGTGGCGCGGCCACTCGGACATCGACTTCGCCGTGGACGAGAGCGGCCTGTGGGTCATCTACCCCGCCGCGGATGACCAGGACGAGGCCCAGCCCGAGGTGATTGTGCTGAGCCGCCTGGACCCCGGCGACCTGTCCATGCACCGGGAGACCACGTGGAGGACGCGGCTGCGGCGGAACTCCTACGGGAACTGCTTCTTGGTGTGCGGCATCCTGTACGCCGTGGACACGTACAACCAGAAGGAAGGCCAGGTGGCCTACGCCTTCGACACGCACACAGGCACTGACGCCCGGCCGCAGCTGCCCTTCCTCAACGAGCACGCCTTCACCACCCAGATCGACTACAACCCCAAGGAGCGCATGCTGTACGCCTGGGACAACGGCCACCAGCTCACCTATACCCTCCACTTCGTGGTCTGAGCCGGGACCGGTGCTCACAGGAGAGGAGTGGCCGTGGGCGTGGCTCCCCCACAGCAACTCCTGCAGGGGGCTCCGTCAGCACATATTTATGGGGGTCCAGGCCCGGGGCAGGTGCTAGGCACGTGGCGCAGCCAGGATAAAGCTTCCTTGGCACCCAGTGGATTAATAATCCCTTCCACTTGCAGAGCACCATGCCAAGAGCTTCACATGCACAAACCCACTCAGTCCTCCCAGTAGCACCCCCGGAGGTAGGGATAATTAAGCCCATTTAACAGATGAGGACACTGAGGCCCAGAGAGACCATGTCCCTTGCCTGAATAGCCTCAGTTTGGATCAGGCAGGCCGTGCCGTCACAACAGCCCCGTTTTACAGATGAGGAGACCTGACTGTGCTCACCTTCACCTCCAGGCCTCTCCCTACTCCTCTAGATTCTCTTGTTCTCTCAACTCTGTCTCCCTTACCCCCGGGGCCACTCAAAAGCAGAGGCCTCGGGAATCTCTGCACTATGTGGCATGCTGCGTCCCACCCCCGGCCCCCGTTCTGGCCGAACTGTTGGTGGCCCTGGGCTTCAGGCCCCTGGCTAATGTTCCTGCTCCTTGCCTTTGGCCACCCCCCACCCCCCCTCACCCTCTGTCCAACCACATTCCAAACCTCCATGGTCACCCAGCCACTGAGCAGAAACCGCACCCCGAGGAAAAATACCAGCCCCTGTTCCAAGTTCCCCTCCCTCTGTATTCATGTTTATTTTCTCTTATTCCTCCTCAGTGCTGTCATTTGTTTCTGCAGCAGCAGCTGAGAAGGCCGCCGGCAGCTGCCTGCCAGACCCGACTCTACCAGGGTGGGGAGCTGGGCCAGGCCCTGAGGCCCCCTCTCCACCCAGAAGTGCCGGCTTTGGCTACATACCTAGGCCATGGGACCTGTCCTCAGCCCCTCCCAGAGCCCTGGGGCCTGGGGTCCATGTTGTCCTTTCTCTCTGGACCTTTGAACCCACAGCTTAGATGTACTCAGGGATACCTTCAGGTCTGCTGTGAGCAAGACCCTGGACAGGGCTGGGGTGGTGCCAGGATGAAACAGATTCCCTCTTCCTTGTCAGTCCTGACCCGGTCATTTGGTGGAATGACCCAGCAGATTTTTTGTGGTTTATTTTGGGGGGGGGGCGCTGGAGGGGGGTCGAGATCTGAGCAGTTGGGTCCAGGGGAGGCATTGGACCTAATGGTTGCAGGGAGGTGCTAGAGGATGGAAGCTGGGAAGGAAGGAGAAGGCAGTGTGTGGACCAGGCTTTTCCAGGCTTCAGAGTTATTGGTGCCAGGACCACCCTGAACCTGGGCCTTGGGGCTGAGGATGCACAGGTGGGCCGTCTCTCCTGGTGCTGCTGGTGACCCCCGCTGAGCCTCAGACCCAGGCAGCCCATAGGACATAGACCTTAAAGCCTTCCCCTCATCTGCTTTGGGTAGTATTTTCAGAGCTAGGAAGTTCACCAGTCTAACTCCCTGTTTCACCAAAGGAGAAAGAAGCCCCCAGAGAGGTTTAGAGAGTAGTTTGGGGCCATGCTGGGGAACAGGACACAGCTGATCTTCCAGAAGGGCTTTGTCTACTTCCTTTATTCTTCCAGCTTAGAGGCAGCTCTGCCTGGGAAGGCCATAGACTCCCAAGGACCCAATCCATCCCAACACCTTTGAGAGTATTTACTGCTGATCCCTACACCACCCCTGACCCTGCTCTCCTCATCTGTCCCCATGCCAACTCCTGCATATCTGTATATTTGGACACCCAGCTGCATACCCAAGAGTGTAAGGAAAAGCATTTTGTGCAGAAGACGTCTCTTTCGGGCATGGTCAGGTGATGTTTTGTTTAAGCTGTAACTCACCCCTGAAATGGAGGGGAATGAGGATAGCCAGCCAAGCAAGGCCTGACTCATAGTGGTGGACACATCCAGCCTCCCCCACCCAACCGTCGGCGGGCTCCACCGAACAGTCTCTTCAGGGGGCTGCATTTCCCTTGGCCCTGGGTGTGGGTTTTACAAGATTGTGTCTTTCATGATATCACAGCCTAACCATGTGAGAAGTGTTCAGACTCCTCTTGCTCAGTAGTTGAGAAAAAGGAAAGTTAGAAAGGATGGGATTTGGGAAAATGGAAGGACAAGCAAAATTGTTTTGGGGGGGGCGGTGATGCAGGCTGCAGCCTCCAAACCTTCAGTAAGCCCCTTCTGTTTTCAGGCCTTAGTGTGTGGGGTTTTGTGGTAGATAGTTATTTTCCTCACTTTACAGATAGTCAAACTGGAGCCCAGACGTGGGTCACTTGTCATGAAAGCAGTTAAATGGGGAGCCAGGTCTCAAAATCAGGTCATCTAAGCATCACCACTGACTGAGCATCAAGTGGGCCAAGCATGCCGGGTGCATATTCTTGCTTCATCACAACAGGGAAGGTCTATACTTGGAATGTGCCCATTTTATAGATGAAGAAACTGAGGTGAAGGGACTTACCCAAGGTCACACCGTGGCTTAGTCTGTGGCAGATCGGGGTTTCAGGGCTGGTCAGTCCATGTTGTTTGCCAACTGCATGGCACTCCAAGGGCAGCTCCAGAAGTGTCACCAGGCCACAAGCTGTATCCAGAAAGGACACCCAAGGAGGAAGTTGGGGTCAGCCTGTAAAGAGCCTTGAATGCCAAGCCAAAGACTGCCTCCAATCACATTTGGAACAAAGTCAAGTATAAATTAACAGAGAAAAGAAAATTCTAAGACAATTGGAATTGATTCCATTGCTCATGGGAGGCAGGGACGGGTTTCTGTCGTGGACTTTATTGCATTTGGCCACAGGTACTTCGAATAAGAAAGGACCTGGACTGGGGAGGACCAGCGTTTCTTACTGACCTTGGATGTGAAGGCAAAGGAAGCTGTCTCTGGTGTTCTGAACACATGAAGGGGCTTTGGCTGCTGCCTTGGATTCCCCCTAGAGATTTCTAGGCCTTGACATTTAATTTGCTCTGTCTGCGGAGGAGAGAAGGGGGCCTCTGCCTTGGAGGCAGCCCAAAAAGTGAGGCTGGGGTTTTCCTGGGAATCATTTGAGTGTTCCTGAAAGCCTCTGTGTTCCAAAGCGTCATGTTCTCCTTGACAGCATTGGAAACCACTCTGATGACAGGAGAACACAGCACCGGATGGTTGTCAGACAGCCTGGGTAGGAGTTAGGGAGGCCTGTTGGGATCTGGCTCAGCCTCTTCCATACTGCATGCTTGGGCAGGGTAGGGACTGACAGAGGAGACAGATGTCAACTCCCTTTTATGGCTGAAGACCTACAGCTTAGGGAGGACTAAGGGCAGCTGAGGACCCAAGCAGCACCCTCCCAGAGCTAGAAGGCACCTGGACACACATTCTCACTGATGCACCCAGGAACCCCCAAGGTTGGCATTGCTTTCCCCCCTGACAGGTGATGAACCTCAAGTTCAGGGAAGTTAAGCAACCTGCTCAGGGTCCTGAATCTAGCAAGTAGTAGAGTCAAGATTTGAACCAGGTGTGTGTCTATACCAAAGCCCCAAACTCACTGTTATTAGAAATCTTGTGACAGTCGTGTTTTCTCTTTTGCTTTGGCCGCTAGGAACCTCAAAGTCAAATTTGAGATTACTTCTAACAATTGTACTGAGTCACCAACTGGACTCTGACTTCATTCTAGCTTTCTGCTTTAACCTTTACCCAGATCTGTTTATTTTTACTCCATTGTATTTTATCTATGTTTGTAAGTTGCCACAATACCTTTTTTGCAACAAGGTGGCATATACCTAAATAAATACATGATCAAATTTCCATTTGAAAGTCTTGAATAAGTGCTGTGGTCTGCTTCCTTATCATGACACAAACATTTAATTTCCTGGGAAAAAGAGTGTTGTGGAACCGAGGAGGTGGGCCTTGAGCATCTTAGTCCCACATTTCCCAAACTTGTCACTCCTGTACAGACCTTCTTCATGACTTTTGCCGTTCCCCTTGACCATCTTCAGTATGCTTTACGGTTTCTCTTTCAGGTGATTTCATTCTTTTTACTAAAATAATTTTATTTCAAAGGGAAGCTTAATAAGCTGTTAGCAAAAACAAGTTTTTAAAGGAGGAATATTACAATAGTAAAAAATAAAAGTCAGTGACCACCATGTAAGGTGGCTGGGATGGGACACTGAAAACAAGCAGCACTATTGGTTTCTGGTGGTTACTGTGCCTGTGATCCCTGGGCCAGTTGTTCTTCGTGTAAAAAGCCAGATTAGCAAATGTCAGGGCGTATAAAGGACAGACCAACACCAAGTGGACATTGACCTTGATGTAATCAGAGGGATGGGACTAGAGGGAATAGCTTCTCCATGTGATTCAAGGGCCTTTCACCTGGTGGCTTAAGTACCTCTAAAGAGCTCTCAAGCCACCGATGGTGACACGGATTTAGACCAACTTCCCCAAACACAAACGCACACACATTCAGCTAGGCCTTCCCTCCCCAGCCTTGGCAGAGCTGGGCCCTGTCCCTGTGGCCCCTGGCAAGAACAAGGGTCCCGCTTCCCCCAGGACAGACAGCCAGAAGCACGGTGCTAGCAGGGGCTGATAAGCCCTGTCCCTCTCACCATGCAGACCCTGCTGGAGCTGACACAAGCAGACCAAACATGGCCGGGCTTTGGGTAATCTGCATCGTGGCCTCTCCACTCAGGCCCTTGGCTAGCCCTAGCCCTGCCTGTTCCCCACTGCCCCATCTTCTCCGACCTCTGCATCAGCTGCTCCGTCTGGCTGCTATCCTGGTACCTGCACTTGGGCATGGCTGCCTCCCTCTGGCCATGCAGGTCTCAGCTGAAATGTCACCTGCCCAGAGAAGCGATCCCTCAAGGCTGGGTCTGAAGCTGGCCCCAGTCACATTCAGTAAGGGACAGGCGAGGCTAGGTAGGGAGAGACAGGGAGGGGGCCATGTGACGAGGGTCACAGAAATCCCAGATGGAGAAATGTTATAGACAAGATATTAACCAGAGAGAAGGGAACATAACAAATCCCCTTTGTTCTAAATATAGAGGAGACAGTTTCATAATATTTACAAATCCACTTGTCTTAAATGTTATAGACAAGATATTTACCAAGGTCCCTGGTCAGTTTTCTATAAAAGACTGACCATAAAAGCCCCCAGTGGCAACCCATTCGGGACCCCTCTCGCTCTAGAGAGCTCCTTTTCTTTCCTTTCTGTTCTCACCTTCCCTTAATAAACTTTCACTTCACTTTGCCCTTTTGTCCCCAAGATTCACTCTTGGACTCCGTGAGACAAGAACTCGCAACAACATGCTCTTTTGTCTCTTCACTGGTGGGCACTTACATTCGTGTACTTGCCTGGGGTTTGTCTCCCCTCACTGGGATCAGAGCCCCATGAAAGCAGAGCTGTTCCCCACCATGTCACCAGCACCCAGGAGACCCACCCAACAAATGGCTGCAAATGACCGGGCAATCTGTGTCAGAACTTTGGGCAAGTTCATACAGGGTCTGCTGAGCAAGCCACCCTTGGCTCCAAATATGTTACCACTGGATGGGCCACGCTTCTTTCATTAATTTGTGCAGCATAAGTCAGGTTCCACACAGAAATCTCTGGACTGCAATCTCGAATCATTAAGGCTGGAAAGCAGACAGGATATTCCCAGTGACTCCCTCCACCCTGCAGTTGGATGAAAACGGGGAAACCCGGGGCGCCTGGGTGGCTCAGTCCGTTAAGCGTCTGCCTTCGGCTCAGGTCATGATCCCGCGGTCCTGGGATCCAGCCCCGCATCACAGGGAGCCTGCATCTCCCTCAGCCTGCTGCTCCCCCTGCCTGTACTCAAGCTCTCTCTCTGACAAATAAATAAATAAAACCTTAAAAAAAAAAATGAGAAAACCCATCTTCGGGGGAAAATACTTGACTAAACACTGCTCTGCTCTGCAGCCAGACACTTAGACGGCAAAGAAAGCTGTAGCATCCCGGCGCTGGACGAGACAGGCACTTGGCTCTGGGTCCCGATTCAGCGTTCCAGGCAGCTCGGTGGCCAACAGAGGCCCGAGGCTGTAGAGTTCAGTGGGCTGGGGGGCTGGACTGACTGACCTCTGACCCTTACCGGCGTGGTCGACAGCACCCCGCGCCAGGGGGAGCAGCGGTTAGGCTAGTGCAATTCTGTAAGCCCCGAGTGTGATGCCCAGCACACGTGGGCTTCAGGAAATGGCAGCCACCGTTGCCCTTGTGACCAGTTAATGCGCTGCTCCGAGGGACAGCCAGCTCTCCATGTCCTGCCCTGCGGGCTCTCCACCGTGACTGACACCTGTGTGCTGGCCTCGGGGGCACCGAGCTGCGCTGGCGAGCTTGCTGGGAGGCGGGGACTCAGTCACAACAACACCCACTGGGTGCACTTGGTGCTCCGCCAGCGGAGATCTCAGAGGGGCTCCCCGTGCCTTGCTAAGGAGTGTGGGCTTCTCCCAGAGCCACGGAGGGACCAGGACCTCCCAACCTGCCTCCACGTCGAAGCAGAGCCTCCCCTGGTCACCCTAATGATGTCGTCCTCAAAAGGGGACGTCCTCTCTCTCTGCCCTTTCCACTTTCTTCCCTGGTTTCAAGCCCTAAAATTCCCCCCTTGGCTGGTGTGGAAAGGAAGAAATAAAAATAACTAACTGTCCCTGGGCACTCAACGTCTGGGTGTGTGCTCTGCGCCGGGGGGTGGTGCTCCGTCTTTCCAGCATGTCCTTGGATCTTTCCAGTTACCCAACACGGTAAGTACTATCGCTGTCCATGTTTCACAGTTGAGGAAATTGAGCCGCCCACCGCTACCTCATGTGTTCAAGGTCACACAGCTGGGGGTGGCTGAGCTTGGGGAGTCACCCTCTCAAAATGCGTACCAACCTCAGCTCGTTCCAGAGCCACTGCGCAGTGTTAAAAGGTGATGCCCAGGTACCCCCACGGGCCAACATACCATAGTCTCTGGTGGAGGACTGAGATTCAGTGTTTTAAAAGCTCCCCAGCAGATTGTGCTGTGCGTTCAGGGTTGAGGCCCCCCCTGCCCCTCGCCCTCCCGCCACTCAGAAAGAGCACCTTGAGCACAATGGGGTGGATCTGTCAGATGCCAGGTTGCACCCAGATTAGCATCCTCTGCCCTGGCTGCCGCAGGAGAGGGAACAGAGAGAGCAGGCCTCGGCCTGGCGTGTCAGCCATTTCTCCCCAGGGCGGCTGCCGCTGGGGGTGGGGTTCCTAGGGCACAGAGCACAAAGGCTCCCTCTGCCCCCAGGCAGTGCCCAGATGCTGCCCCGCCTACCCAGCCCGGTCTGAACTCTGCCCACGTCTGGGACCAGCCCTTCGACCCCCCACATTCCAGCAGGGACCCCATGAGGCACGAACAGACAGGGCTTTCAGGATGCGTGCCTGCCAGGGAGGATGCATTATTAACGAGAATTATCTGCCATGAGCACTGGGTGGCATTTCACGTGCCAAAGGTTGGCTGGCCCCGCCCTGGCCCGGGCTGCTTGGCTCCGGGGCCCTCATTCCAACCGTGCAAGGACAGAAACTTTATTCTCTTCCACAGCCAGAGGCCTCCGCCCCTCACCATCTGTGCAGCCCCCCTCGGCGATCCCCTCCACCCCCACCCAGGGGCCAGAGCTTTCCTTCTCCAAGGCTCAGCGCAGAGCGGATTACATAAGGGTGATCCGAAAGTCAAGTTTCCCAGGTCTTTTTCAGCCAAGGATTTTGTTGACAAGCGAAGTCGCTGCTGCCAAGATGTTGCCAAGATGCCAAAGTCACTGTTGTCCCAACCTGTTCTGGCTTTTTGGCAACGGGCCCTGACAGACGCAAACAGCTGCTGCAGCCGGACAAGCTTCTTATGGAAGGAGCTAGGGCTTTTGAAGCCAGACAGCCCTCGGTGTGAATCCCCGCTGTGCCACCTACCACCCGTGGAACTTGAGGGCGCTCCTGCAAGTTTCTTACCTCAGTTTCCTCATCGGTAAAATGGGGATGACGACCTTGACCTTCCAGGAATGTTGTGAGGTTGAAATGAGATAGTGGATGTGAAAAAGCTCTAAGTGGGAGTATGGAGGGCATACAGCAGGGCGAGGCACAATTTCGGTCAAGGACCTCAAAGACTGACTTAGGGCATCATCTTGGTCCTACTCCCAGAACCTCAAGTTGTGGCAGACCCGACGTGACATTCGTCAGCAAATGTAAGCATATTCTCAAAACTGATGACTTTTCCTTGCCTTATATAACAGAGCCCAGAGGGCAGATTTCTTTCATCCAGTGTGCCTACTCGGATGGATTGGTACTGTCTATGGAAGCCGCCCCCCCAGGCCCAGTGTAAGGGAGAACACTGAGAGATTAGTAATGTCTGCCATGAGAATAAAAAGTCAGGGTGGTGTTATATACGCTACATTTTACCATTCCTATTGTAGAGCAAGGTCTAAAAATACTTCTTGCTCTAGTTTTTGTCTAGATGTGTGTGGCGGCCTCCACACTGATCTTTCTGCTTCTTGTCTCTTCCCACCCTCCGATCCTCAACTTAGCTGCTAGAGGGAATTTTCTAAAATGAAAATCGGATCATTTCATTCCATTACCTATCACCGTCCCATGGCTCCTCCTCTTGTTCCGAGGATCAAACCACACTCCCAGGGTTGACATTCCAGGCCCCCACTGGCCTTCCCAGTCTCATCCATGGCCACTCATTTCCAAATACCCCCTCCTAGAGCCCCACTGATCTGAGCATCTTCTAGAGCGGACTTGTGAGGATTCAAGGCAGCTTGGAAAGTCAGACTGAAAAGCCTGTATCCAGACTCACAAGATCCAATCAAGATCAGAGGGGCAGACAGAGACCCCTCGGCATTTGCCACCAGTGAGTTTAACAAACCAGAGGGGGCTGACAAACTTCCAAGGACCCCTGCGGTGCAGTTTACCAAGGCTGTCATCCTGCTCACCCTGAACCACACTGATGAGATTAGTCCTGAGTTGCCCCTACAGAGGGTAATGTACTCTGCTCTCTCTCGTGATTGCCCATTCCAAGACAATTTCCTCATCAGCAAGACACAGGATGGAGGCTTTCAGGCACTGCTGTGTCCAAAGCTTTCCTGCCCACGGTCCAGACATGCATAAGGGTTCCTGCCCCACCAGAGCCAGTGGGGTTCCTCTCCATACCCCCTCAGTCCTAACTCTCGCTATTCCCCTGAAGGCAATCGGATAATTCAATCTTTCAATTTCATAAACTTTACCCTGAGCTCCTGCTCAGGGCAGGATCAGGGATGAGCACTGGGGATTCAGATGATGCACGATTGTTCAGTGGATATTGTCCACCTGGCTGGAAGGGCTGATAAACACAACCTGGATGGCATGGCTGGGGAATGAGGACCTCATAAACAAATCTCAGTATGCTTCCGAGATTGGGATGTTTACTGAAATCATTAAGCGAGAGTTGAGGCTTGATGAAGAGGCATGAATGAGCATCTTGAGGGAAAATACCTTCATTAAAGAAAAGAATCCAAACAGGCCTTTTTCTTTTCTTTCCTTCCTTCCTTCCTTCCTTCCTTCCTTCCTTCCTTCCTTCCTTCCTTCC